AAAAAATCTCTCAAATGTTGTCTCTTTCTTTACTTAAATCTCAAGTCTCTTTATTTGGGGGGTTCTGCCACCTTTTCTCTCCCCCAACCTCATACTATAGATTGAAGTCTGAGCCTCTGTGCTGAGCTACATCCCCAGCAAATTTTGAGGCAGTCTTGCTATATTATCCATGCCAGACTTAAACCTGTGATCTTCCTGGGCTAACCTCTCAGAATAATGAGGTTACAGATGTGTATTACCACACCGGGTTTAAGTATTGCTATGCCCATATTCTTGATTTTGCTGACTTCCTCAACACTAACCATTTTATATGCTCCTTTGGTAATAAGATATAGAGACTTGAAGGGCTGGCCAAATAGATCAGTGGATTAAAGTGCCTGCAAGCAGGTGCAGGGGCTGTGGGTTCAATCCCCGGGCCTGCTGTGCCACCCCTGCCCCCAGGGTGCGCTGAGAGGGCAATTGAGACTGGGCGTGGTGGCACCTTGTCTCACTAAAATAAAAATAAAAATGGTTTAGGGATGTGAAAGATTGATTGACTAGAGTCAGGGTCTTGCTAATTTGCTAAATTGCCTGAGCTGGGCTAGAACTTGTGATCCTCCTGCCTCTGCCTCCCAGAATGCTGGGATTACAGGCATGCACCACCACACCGGGCTCCATAAGTACTGTGTTAATGGAGCCACTAAACTTGCATTTTATCTAAGACTCCAGAGCTCTAAGCATGAAAATAGCTACCACCTTCCGGTGGTCTGTATCTCCATGGGGCTATACCCAGTGCTACATTTATTTGTCACAAAATGTGAGAGGACAAGCACCCTCTTCCTCTTTTTACAGAACCAGGTCACAAGAACTTGATGAACTGCTGAATCTGGAACCTGGTTTCTCTTGTTTCCTTACCAGGTCAGCCTCACCTGGGACACAGTTCTGCTGGCTGGGGGTATACTGCTGGTAAAGCAGAAGGTCCTGTTGAGCAGTTGCTCTTAAAATTATTTTCCTATCAACCTCTTCTCGTAGGGCTTGTGCCTCTATGAAAGTATTTTCCCCAGGCATGGTGGTGCATACCTGTAATCCTAGTACTTGGGAGGCTGAGGCAGGAGGATTGCTGCACATGTGAGGCCAGCTTGGGCATAGAAAAAAAAAAACGATTTTTCACACTGACTTCTGTCTCATTTGTTTTTCCATTTATAGGGAGTAGCGTCTTCCTAGAGGTTGCCCATGAATTGGACTGAGTTGAATATTGTCTTAAGCCTCGAATAAATTTTTGTTTGCTTTGGTAGTACTGGGGATTTAACAAAGGCCTTCACACTAAGCTGCATTATTAGCCCTTTTTATTTTGAAGCAGAGTTGGTAGGCTCCAAATTGGGATCCTCCTGTTTCAGCCTTCCAGAATGTAGGGATTACAGGTAAAAGCGACAGTGTGAACCTAGAACAATTTACCAGCTGCACTGTAGATTTGAATCAGCTCTGTTCTGTCTCTCTCTCCCCCACCCCTCAGTGGTGGGGCTCAAAGCTAGGACCTCACACCTGGTAGGCGAGTGCCCGATCGCTGAAGTACATCCCCAGCCCAACTATTCTGAGACCTGAAAAAAATTTGCCTTTGACCTTTATTGTGTCTGGCTTTTTATCCAGCTCAATTTAGTATTATGGTAATTTTGTGTGTCATTATGTGAATGGCTTGTTAAAATGCCCGATGGCCTCAGGGGCATCTGGAGACAAAGGAAGGAGTAACCAAGGAGGAAACATATGTACACACACATATCTCTCCGAGCCGCAGCCCATCTGGGCTTACAAGAGTTCAAATGAACAGGACTGCCAATTTTCCGCCAGTGAAAATCTTTACAAGCCTAAGACTACATTCAGCTGATTTCATTGGACCTTGTTAACTCATTGCCTAGTTAATTAGTGTCTAGTTGATTCCGTGTCTTCTGGAAAAATTTCCACTGAAGAGTCTGGCCTTTAACATCTTTAAGTTATTTTCTTAAATATGCCCTGAAGACTCATTCCTTTTGCTGTTTTTAAGGGTTTAGCATGAAAAACAATGGTAATTTAGCAGCTGGTGTTCTGCAGGGCACTCAGGACAGCATTCAACATGCATGGAAAGGAAAAAAATACCTTACAAAATAAAATGAGCTTGCTATTTATTTATTTATTTTGGCAGAACCAGGGATTGAACTCAGGCCCTTAAGTTATCTCCCCAGCCCCATAAAGTGAGCTTTTTTAAATGTCAACCACAAATGTGGCAAAAATATAATATTGTGAAAATAAAGGAAACCAAGCCAGGGAGATAGCTCAGTAGAATAAGTGTTTGCCTGGCAAGCACAGGGTCCTGAGTTCAATCCCCAGTACTGGAAAAAAGAAAAAGAAAAGGAAAAAAGAAAATAAAGGAAACTTAAGGGTTTGTGAGAAATCTTTTTTTTTTTGGGGGGGGGCGGAACTGGGGATTGAACTCAGGCCCTTGCAGCTTGCCAGACAAGCACTTATTCTACTGAGCCATCTCTCCAGCAAAAATGCTTATGTTTAGAGCAGAAAGTTAAATTAAGTTATAATATTAAGTCATAATGATAATAGAAACATTTACGATTTATTTAATAAAGACTTTTGTGAAGGATTTCAAAATAAATTTTCATTGTATTTATTTTGTGGTACTAAGAATTTTTGCAGGGAAGAGAGGGAGTTCTGGGGATTGAATCCAGGGCCTTTGTACAGAACTACATTCCCCACCCTTTTTTATTATTTACTTTGAAACAGGTTCTAAGTCACTAAATTGTCTATGCTGTCCTGCCTCAGCCTCCCATAGTGCTGGGATTACAGGCATCCACCACCATGTCAGGCTTTAAAAATGATTTTTTTAAAAAAAGGAGTATTATTGCAAACTTATTTGGGGCTAAGGATTTCAATATGAAATGAATCCACTTTTTACACAATTGCTTTCTACTATTAGTTTCTTAGAAGAAAATTATCAATTAAACTCTTCTTTCCACCTGTACCAAATTCTTAGACCTTCTCATTGATAGGCAGAAATAATAAGTCACAAAATATTTTGTCTGAAACTAGATGGAAATGAGGTATCTTCATACCATGGCAAATTTTTAACAGAAACTTAGATTCCCCAAGTAGCAATATGAAATCTATGAAAAAAAAAAACAAACCCAAAGTGGGTGTAGTGGTATACGTGCATACATCCTGGCATTCTGGGAGGGTGGTGCAGGAGGATTGCAAATTCAAATTCAGCCTGGGAAATTTAGCAATTTAGGAAGACCCTGTCTCAAAATTAAAAACAACAACAAAATTCTAGGCTGTTGGTCAGTGTGAAAGCCCTGAGATCAATCCCCTGTACCACAAATATCAAAGAACAAAATGTTAAACCACAAACATTAAACTTGCTGGAAGAGAAGATAGGTCAAACCCTTGAAGTCATAGGCACAGGAAATGACTTTCTGAACAGAACCCCAATTGCACAGGAAATGGTTCTGACAATCAAGATATGGGATCATATTAAATTCAAAAGCTTCTGTACAGCAAAAGAAAACCCACAGGGGCCGGGGAGATGGCTCAGTGGAATAAGCGCTTCTCTGGCAAGCGTGAGGACCTGAGTTCAATCCCCGGTTCTGAAAAAAAAAAAGAAAAGAAAACCCACAGAGTGAAAAGACAACCTATAGAAAATGTTTTGCTAGCTGCTCCTCAGAGGACTCGTATCTAAAATATGTAAAGAACTAAAAAGAGTGGTAATGCCCCAAAAAGACACAATCAAAAAAAAAAAATAGACAACTGAAATACAGACACCACCGAAGTACAAATGACCAATAAATACATGAAGCAATGTTCACCATCACCAGCCATTTGAGAGACACAAATTAAAACAACACTGAGACTTCATCTTACCCCAGGAAGAATGGCTATCATCAAGAAATCAAATAATAACAGATGCTGGAGAGGCTTCTGTGAAGGTTTCTCTGTTGGAGAGAATGTAAACTAGTACAATCACTACAGAAACCAGTATGGAGATTGCTTAAAAACTAAAACTAGAAATTCCATTTGACTTAGCTATTCCCCTTCTAGGTATGTGCACAAAAGAGTTAAGCGCTTTGCATTACAGTGACACATACACACCCATGTTTACAGTAGTTAAATCTTGAGAAGCGGCCTATTCGTCCATCAGGAGGTGAATGGACTACTCTGCCCTAAAGATAAACCAGAGTCATTTGTAGGAAAATGGATGTACCTTGAGACTACAATGTTAAGTGCGATAAGCTAGACACACAAGCTTAAAAATTGCATGGTTTCTCTTATACGAGAAACTAAAGTTATAAGTAAAGGGAAAAATAAAAGACAGGTAATACGAAGTAGAGATATAGATCTTTCTCAGAGAGGGAGAGGATGAAAAAAAAGGAATTAAGATATAGTGTTATGTGCATGTACCAACTTCCCACAAGGAATGTTAAGTATTATGTACTACACAAACATATTATTAAACTAAACTAAAAAAAGGTTAAAAATCCCCTGTAGCATCATGAAACAGCAGAACATCATAAGTATGTGAAGTTTAATTACTTTTACATCAAGCACTTTAGTTAATATTGTAAGATTAAGTTGTGTATAATGACACTGAACAAGAATAGCTTGGATCCCGAGGAATCCACATGGGCGGAATGGATTACCCATGGACTCCAAAGGATTCCATTCTTTTAAAAAATTAACTATTTTTTTTTTTTTTGATAGTCTCACTACGCAGTCCAGACTCAGAGTGATCTTCCTGTCTTGGCGTCCCTAGTGCTCCTTTTTCAAAATTGTATTTAGTACAAGGTCTACAGGATGTCACTACACAGATAGAACTCGTAGTAATCCTCCTGTTTTCAGCCTTCCAAGGGGTGGGATTACATGCGCGTGCCACCACGCCCAATCTCAGTCGCTCCCTTAGCACGCAGGGGATTGAACCCCGGTCTCTACGTCTAGCCCGAGCAGGCGCTTTAATCCGCTGAGCTGTCTGGCCGGCCCTTGCTTCTTTCTTTAAATTGTAGTGAAATACACATACAATTTACCACTGTGATCATTTCAAGCGTACAATTCAATAGCTTAAAGTACATTCACATTGTCTTGGAGCCACGCCTCGATCGCCGCTCTTTGCTCCTAGGACTCACCAGTAGAGGGCATCCGGGGATAGCGCACCAGTCACTTCCACGCCTTCTCTTCCAATACGCATGCGTACTTTCCCAGTGGGACCTGCAGCTGGGGGAGAAGAAAGGGGGCGCCGGAGGGCTGCGCAGGCGCGGGGCGGGCTTTTTGTGACGTCACGCCGCGCGCCCGGCCGGGAAGCTGGCGGCGGCTCGAGGAGGCGCTTCCTCTAGCGTGACGCGCAGGCTCGCCTTCCCCGCCCGCCCGCTGGTCTCGCCGCCGCCGCCTCCCTCACTCCCTGAGCTCGCAGAGCGCGGGCCAGTGGCCGGGGGTGGAGGCCCGGGGAGACGCGGAGAGGAAGGGAGGGAGGGTGGGCGGGGAGCACAGAGAGCGTCTCTATATGGCGGCAGTTCTGTCGGGCCTGGCTGTCCGGCTCTCGCGCTCAGCCGCCGCCCGCTCTTATGGGGTCTTCTGCAAGGGGCTGACCCGCACGCTGCTCATCTTCTTCGATCTGGCCTGGCGGTTGCGCATCAACTTCCCCTACCTCTACATCGTGGCTTCCATGATGCTCAACGTACGACTGCAGGTGAGTGATCCACACCCCGAACCCTTCGTCTCTCCCCGGCAGCCCGAAGACCCAGGGCGGCCCTGCCCACCTCGCAGAACGGGATGCAGATGCCTGCCGTGGCTGCCACCGGTCGGAGGCCGAGTGTGCGCCAGCAGTGTGCATTTTCCCGTGGAACTCTACTCGGGAAAAGTCCCTGAGGTTGTTAACTGCTTTTTGCAAAGGAGCATTAGGAAGCAGGTGTGGTGTAGGGCGGGGTCCAAGGAGATAGAAAGGTCCCGAAGATGACAGCGTTTTGGGTTCTGGTGGTGGATTTGTGGGTGAATTTTCTGGTTCCCAAACTTTGCAGATTCCATGCATCTTATCACTGAAGCTTAAAATAGATTGGAAGTTAAAGGTGTTTTCGTCTGTGTATTTCTTTTATTCTGGCCAGGGGTAGAAATGAGGTGGGGATGAAGGTGAGAGAAAATGACGGTGGAGGAACTAGAGACGCAAGAGGTTTCAGAGGCCTGGAACAATTCATATGTGAAATAATAGCGCAATACTGGCACCGCAGAGCCCACCTTTGCTGGTAACAGACATCTCCACTTATCTTGAATATACTTCCTTCTAGTGGAAGAGAAGTTTTCGGCTTAAAAATTCTTGAAGATAGCTAACTCCTGAGCTGCTTTGGATTGTTTACATGCCTTGGAATGTCACAGGGACATGTCCCTGTCCTTGGAGAGTTTAGTCTGACACTCCCTGGTGTGCAGAATGAGCCAATTTGCGATAGGTCCAGGTTTGTCTCTGGTTGGTGGTACCTGAGGTGACTGTCCCTGTACAATGTGTGTGTGTGTGTGTGTGTGTGCGCGCGCGCGCAGGTTTTGAGTCCCTGACAGGATCATAGACCACATGAAACCAAAAGCCATCTATTGATCACATTTGTGTTACAGTGATTTGAATTGAATTTGTGTATTTTAAGGTTTAAATTGAAGTGCTTTTATGTGAGCAAGGGCTTGTGGCATCCTTAAATGGTACCAGGCTAGAGGTTTAGCAAATTCAAATATCTTTGTAGCGGGTGGTATAAATGAGTAAAAGGTGCTGGATGTGGAGGTTTCACTAAACTAGAAACCTGTGCTCTAGCCACTTTCATCCTGTGGAAGCAAAAGCCAATGCTTGCCAGATGTAGTGCTCTCCAAGAGAAATGAAACATCCTGATTTTTAGGTATCAAATTAACTCAGATTGTCAAAAAAGAGACCTTAGGAGGCAAAATAAAAGTATTTGGAGACTATATTGACCTCTTTGGAATCTTGTATCTAGAATCACATAATTTGTAGTCACTATAAAATCACAAGAGGAACTTTAAGAGACAGTGTACTACATAGTGCTATTATGTCAAAAATTATCTTTTTAAAAAGGTCTACTTTAGGTGCATGTCACCTGTTAGCTCAGCAGCTTGTAATCCCAGCACTTGGGAGGCTGAAGCAGAAAAGGACATGTACAAGGCCAGCTTGAGTGATATAGCAAGACCCCCCCAAAAAATTAAAACAAAACCACACCTCTCCCATATGTCCACTCTCCATTTGTGGGTACCTCTCTAGTGTAAGCTCTTCCAATCATTCATTTGAACACTTTGCAGTACCTTCCATCTGTTCTCCTCTGAGTAGTTAGAGAAATCCTTCAAACACATAAATTGGGTCATGTTCTTGCAACAAAACAAAATGGCTCCCCTGGCACACAGAATGCAGTTAACATGTTTCTGCCCTGAACATCTGGCTCACACCTCTCTTACCTCTCACCTGGCCCACACCTTGCTTACTACACTTGGTCAGGGCTTGCTGATTAAACACCAAGCTCTTTCCTGTCCCAGACATTCACACAGGCTGGTAATTCCACCCAAATGCTCTTTTCTAACTCTGTGGATGCTGCTAGTTCTCATTGCTTTGGAAAGGACTTTTCATGATCAGCACGTATCTCTGTGGTCTTTCTCGTTGCCAAGAGTGCTGAAGATTCATTTGTTTTATAAGCAATAAACCATAAATGACTCCATTTCCAGCATGATGCTTCAGGTTTTCAAATTGCTCACTTGTTTGTAGGACAGTGAGATCATCTCTGGAAAGGTTACCTAAATTCAAGTTTCATCGCACTGTAACGATTGAAAGCAAGTGCATTTTGGAAGAGGGAAGTCAGATTTACAATGAGAGAGGTGTGGGGAGCCAGCAAGTGCAGATGCCTCAGTCTCAAAAGCCCATAATGGGTAACATGGTGGCCCTGGTACAGTACAGGTTCTGAGGATCTGGAAAGCTAGAATGGATTTTTAGTTCAGGGGCAAGTGAGTAAAGGATGGAGCATTCATAAGGTAGTTTCCAGGTACCTCAGAGAAAGACTTACTGAGAACTGACATGAAGGTTGCAGGCTTGATCTTGGGCATGAGCAAGTGTTATAAGCAGCTGTGCACCTCCTGGGGGTGGAGCAATGCTGTGTCTTATCATAGCTCCAGTACTTTATCTGCTACTTTAAGCTCCCCTGAAGATTTAGAGTTTTTTGCTCATTTGTGAAAAATCATTAGTTTAAAAGTTTATTATTCTGCTCTTCTGGTAAGGGTAAGTGCAACAGGAAATAGAATCTGAGTGAAGGGGACAGTCCTAGCTCATGACCTTTTTCTTTTCTTTTCTTTTTTTTCTTTTTTTTTTTTGGTGGAACTGGGGATTGAACTCAGGCCCTTTTGCTTGCCAGGCAAGCACTTAATCTACTGAGCTATCTCCCCAGCCCCCTATGACCTTTTTCAAGAGTGCTTCCTTTGTTGTAGGAAATCTGTTTACAAAGTAGTAAAGTAGTAAATTTTAAGGTACTCAATTTTCCATATCTACTTAGGCCCTCAAATTTTGTGTAGGGCAGTGAGGGTTTTGTTTGCCTGTCTTTAATTCCAGTACAGGGTTTGAACCTAGAAAGCACAGAATCTTTCTTAAAATTTTGAGATAGTTTCCATTAGTTACTCAGGCTGGCTTTGAATTTGCAGCCCTCCTGCCTCAGCCTCTGCTATAGCTGAGATTTCAGGTGTTCCCCACTGTGCTGAGTATAATTCAGATTTTTTTTTGGAAGTGTGGGGAAACCTAGGGCCTTGAGCATGGTAAGGAAACACTCTAATCCTGAGTTGCAGCCCAGCCCCAGTGGAACATTATAAGGAGGTTAATACTTTTTAGTATGAAAGATGGTTGACTGAGAAAATAGATGCAAAAAAGATTTGTAAACTGAGAAGGGTTATGATTTAAAAGTGGTGTTTGTAAGCTGGGAATAGTGGCATGTGCCTATAATCCTAGCTATCCTTTAGGCTGAGGAAGGCAGATTGTGATTTGATAGGTAGATTGGGCAACATAATGAGACCAAGTCTCAAAAAATAAGATGAGTAGGTTTACAAATAAGCCCTAATCTTTTTTTTTTTAAATATTTATTTATTTATTTATTTAGTGTGTGTGTGGCCAGCTCAGCCCACCAGGGGGCGGGGACTGGCTGGCATGTGGTGCTGGGGGATTGAACCGTGGTCCCTGTGCTTTGCTTAGCTTAGCTTGTTCTAAGTAGGTGCTTTAGACCACTGAGCCATCTCACCAGCCCCAAGCCCTAATCTTTTAGAGTTAACATCCTCCTTATTTATGCAGAAATGAAATAAAAGGCAATAAAAAAATAGAAAACATGCCAGGTGCTCAATGTAGTAAAGGCAAGATTAGAAAATAGTACCAGGCACCTGCTAAAATTTAACAGGTTATTCCTAAAACTTCAGTTATTGTCTGTGGGAAGGATCAAGTATCTTAGTCCTAGGTCACCTAGATTCTTATAACAAGCAAAAGAGAAAGCCTGAAAAAACAACAGAGAAAAGAAGATACTGTGAAGGTTGATGATAGTTGTCAAACCAAGCATTGTCCTTGTTTCACCTATTGCCTGTTTTTCTGTCCTGTGGTCACTGGGCCAGTGAACCTTTCTTTGGCTGCAGACTGTTCCCTCATTTTGTATTCCCAACTACTCTTCCCCCATTGGTACTGGGGATTGAACCCAGGACCTGTGGACTAAGTTATATCCCCAGCCTTTTTAAAATTTTATTTATTTATATATATTTTTTGAGACAGGGTTTCACTTTCCAGTTTAGGCTAGCCTTGAGCTCACTGTGTAGCCCAGGCCAGCCTAGAATTTATGGGAATCCTGTCTCAGCCTCCCAATTGCTGGGATTACAGGTATGCACCACCACATTAGGCAATTTTTAAATATTGAGATAGGATTTTGCTAAATCACTAAATTATCCAGGCTGATCTTAAATTTGTAGTCTTCCTGTCTTGGCCTCCCTGGGTGCAGGAATTATAGGTGTGTTCCCTAACTGCTCTTTCTTAATCTTCTCCAGCTGAATGACTTTCTGGATCATAGCTCCATAGGTTTCAATCACTGTCTGTTACCCGGATGTCTTTATTTTTGCATCTCAAGCAGGGGAAATTGGGAAGCTGGTAGACATTCCCAGTAGAGCATATGGTGGGGTGTCATTGGTTAGATGAGTGTTTTCACTGCAGAGATGTCTAGGTTGGAAAAGTACTGAGGTGGGCAGAGGGAACAGCTGTGGATAAGGCTTACCCCTGAGGCAAGGCTAGCAGGGTAAGGCTAGGCTGGTGGTAGCAGTCCTGGAGGAAGAGGTGGTTCAAGTGAAGAAGGAGTGTTAGGTAGTGGCAGCATGGCCAACAGCCAGAGACTAAGGCTGTGGGAAAGATCAGATTTTATTCACCTGTGTACAGGCAGGCTGACATTGTCATTGTACCAGTGAAAATCTGGAGGGGAATTTGAGTATAGGATTTTTGGATTAGGGTTGGAATGTCAGAGTCTGGATGAAATGTTTAAAGTCAAAGCCACATGAATAATCAGTACAGGTGTGTAGATAAGGCTAGAACCAGGATGACTTCATGTCCAGTCCTAAATGTCTTTATTGCCTTTCTTGTTTACCAGGAGCAAGCTGTTGTTTACAAGGGCAGATAAGAGGCTTCTTAGGTCAGCCTTGTACACAGAGCATTGAACCACTAAGTCTAAGATCTCAAGAGCCCCTTCTCAGGTTCCATTGAAGTTTGAAATGAGTTTTACCTTGTTGTTTGATTTATATCAGACTCCTCAAAGAAAACTGGGGGAAATTATAGACTATCAAGAAACCCCATTAAAAAAAAAAAGAAAGAAAGAAACCTCATAAAAGGTTATCCACTTTTGTGAAAGCCTAGTAGGTCAGGTCAGAAGTGTGAGGTCAGTTAAGCTTAGGAGTTTGCCCTGGCTTCTGAGGTACAGAACAGCTGTGTACCTGAGAGGATAAGTACTATGGAACTTTTCCCATCTTTCAAGTGAGTGCTATAAATATATGCTTCTGTGTGTGTGTGTGTGTGTGTGTGTGTGTTTGTGTGTGTGTTGATAGTGGTGGTGGTAGTGGTACAGGGGATTGAACTTGGTGCTTTTGTACCAAACTCTTATCTACAACCTCAGCACTTTATTTTGGAAACTAGGTCTTGCTGTATTGCCAAGGCTGGGCTCAAATTTGAGATCCTCTTGGCCTCAGCCTCCACAAGTTCTGGGATTAAGCTGTGCATCTTCATATCTGGCTAAAAATTTTGTTTTGAAGAATTTAAACATATAAAATTGAAAGAATAGTATAGTGAACATCTATCTTTGACTCACTTTTAAGGCATCCCACAGATAATTGTTGTTACAGCTTGTATTTAGATGTGTCCCCCCCCCCCCGCCCCAATCCTCATGCAGTCATAGTAGGGCTTTTCCAGAGGTAGCTGGATCCAGAGTATGTGATGCTAGAATTGATTCATGGTGCAATGCTAGGATCAAGGGCACTAGGATTAAGGGGCGTGAGTGCTATTTGTTCTAAGTAGTAGATGAGATATAAAAGATAACAAAGTACAGTGGTCATCTCTTGCTTGCTTTGCTATCTTCTGTCTGCTGTGAACTGTTTTTCCCCTCTTCCATGCCACCCTGCCTTGGAGCCAGCTGTCTATGGACTGAAATTGCTACAAACCAAACTACATAAGCCTTTCCTCCCTTAAATTGTGGGTGTTCGGTATTTTGTCTCAGGAATGAAAAGGTAACTAAGAATGTGGTACCAGAAAATGGAGTTGTTGCTGTTACTGTACCTGACCATTTAGTTTAGGAACCTTTGGGACTGGCTTTTGGATTTTAGGGAAGGGTCTACAGGGTGTTTAGGGTCTTACTACCAGATCAGACTCATAGTGATCCGCCCGTTTGCAGCCTCCCAAGAGCTAGGAGTACAGGTTCAAGCCACCATACCCAGTCTCAGTTGCTGTCTCAGCATACCCAGGGGGCGGGGCTGGCACGGCTGACCTGGGGATCGAACCCCCAGCCCAGCACTTTAATCCACTGAACTATTTAGCCAGCCCAGGACTGGCTTTTAGGAAGAGTTTGGAAAGGTCAGAGAGGCTAGCTGAAAAAGTAGAGCTGGAACGCCTTAGGTTGTACTGGATGCTAGATTCTGATCTGAGCCCAGAACATCAGAAGACAGCTGATAAAAATGCTGCTAGTAATGACCAGGCTCTGGAGATTTCTTCTGGGAAGAACTATATTGGTTGTTGGATTCCAGACAGTGTGTGTTAAACCTTGGCGGAGTTTGTCTCCATTTTGCCTGTATCCAGAGACTTTGCCTGAAAGTGAGATTAAGGGCAGTGGACTCTTCTTTTTTTTTTTTGGCCAGCTCAGCCCACCCTGAGGGCGGGGCTGGGACAGCATGTGGTGCTGGGAATCAAACTGCAGTCCCCTGCGCCTGCCTAAGCTTGCCTACACAGGTGCTTTAGACCACTGAGCTATCTCACCGGCCCCTAGGGCAGTGGACTTATTAAGGAATTTCAAGACAGTAATGTTGAGGCATTGCCTGCCTACTATTGGGACCTTTTTTCCAGATCTATGTTGAGAATTGAGGACAAAGAGCTCAGCAGAATTATTTAACGACATTGTGAGTTTGGCCAGAAAGGAAGCACCAGTAAATCTGTGGAAAGATAGAGCAGTGATCTTGATTCTGAGAAGGAACAGGAGAATAGAAAAAAATGGCATCACAACAGGTGGAAGGACTCCCTTTTGCAGCTTCAATTGCAAAAGCAAAAAACTGCTTTGAGAAGAGTTCCAAAGCATCAAGTTCCAGTATGGTGGTGGCCCAGGGAAGTTGTTCCTCAGGATTTGGTTCATAGGGACTCAACTCTGACAATCAAGAGAGAAGCAAGTCTGGCTACTACTCAAGCTGGGGACAGCCCTTGATGTGATCCATATGGTACTCATTTTTAGGTGCATGCAGAATGGAAGAGTTATGGGGTCAGAAAAGCTTCCACCCACATTTTCAGAAGAAGGCCTGGGAGGCCAGGCAGCGTGCCCCTCAGAGGGCAGTGTGAAGCTGCGAGTGTAAAGCCAAAGGTGACATGGAAAAACCAGAAGTTTGGAGAAACCAGAAATGTGGATCATTTAAGGAAAACTGCAGGGAAGGAGCCAAGGTAGTCCAAGAGATAAGCCAGAAGATCTACAACCACTTGTAGAGACAGAGCCACCCAAGTCCCTTGGAGTTTACAACTTGCCACAGATTGCTGTGGTTGCTGGAAGTAGAACTGTGTTAACTTAATGTTTGCCCTGCTGGATTTTGGACTTGCTTTGATCCCATTCTTTTGTATATCCTCATTCATACCTTTTGGAATGGAAAAGTCTGTCTTGTGCTTTTTTTTTTGGATGTTAATCTTTTTTATTATTATTTATACATATTTTGGAACCTCACATAATTTTGATAAATAACTCTTACAAAATTATGCAAAAAGTACAAGAATGTCTGGTAAACAAACAGTCTGTATTTTCCAAAAAGATTTTTTACAACATGCATTTCTTAAGGCAGCATCCTCCTTACAAGGAAAGGTAATCCTTTTACTCATCAAATCTTCTGCTGCGAATAGGCTAAGAAAGCCTGGATTCTTCCATTAACGCCTTTTGTCTTTCCTGTCTGATTTTCGGTCTCTTTCACTTCTTGAAGATCTTTTGCCTGATCGACTACTCTCTGATATAGACCTCTTTCTGTCAGAGCGGGAATTCTTATCCTTCGATCCTTTTGCATCCCTACTACTCCCACCTTTGGAAGATTTGTGACTTCTTTCTAGTCCTGAAGTATCCCTCCGCTTCCGATCCACGCTCCTTCTGTGCTTCCTATCTCTATTATGTCCCCGGCCTCTGCTCCGACTTCTACTGTCACTACTACTAGTAGTGCTGCTGCTACTATCTCTGCTGCTGCTCCCAGTCGTGCTGGAGCTGCTGCTGGAACTGCTACGACTACTGCTGCTGCCACTGCTGGAACTGCTCCCACTGCTACTGCTAGTTGAACTACTACTAGAACTACTACTGCTACTGCTTCGACTTCTACTCTTGCTTGTTTTATTTCTAGCACGACCTCTGCTTCTGCTCCGAGTTTTTGTTTTGCTTTTACTTTCTGAAAGTATGGTTAAGACTGGCTCTACTGGCACCTCAGTGAGTTTCACAGATGCTACAGGAAACTCTCTGCGCTCAGGTACTAAGTTTCCTTGATCCTGAATGACCTGAGGTGCTGGCTGTACAACAGCTGATGGCACAGTCTCAGGTTGAGGGATGGGCTGGGGCTGGGGTACTGGCGGGGGTTGCAGCTGGGGCGGGGGCTGGGGCTGGGGCTGGGGCTGGGACTGAGGCAGGGGCTGAGGCTGAGCCACAGGCTCAAGTTGAGGCTCAGGTTCTTTTTCCTTCTTTTTCCTCAGACTCCTTTTCCATTTCTACAGCACTAACATTCTCTTTTCCAGGAGAAAGAGATTTACATTCTTTATCTGGCTCAACTTCAAATTCCATCTCTGGCTCCAATTCCTTGCTAGTTTCATTTTCTGAAGGCTCCATACTTTCAGCTTGATTAGTTTCCATTACCTCCTGCTCAGCAGTTACATTTTTGACATTCTCTACCATCTCTAGCACATCCATCACTTCTTCAGCCTGACTATCCTGCTGCTTCTCACTCTCTCTTACCTCAGTTTCCTCCTCCATCTTAACCTCCATTTCTTGTTTCTGTTCCTCCTCTTCCTGTTCTTTCTCTGCATCACTATGAACTACACCGACTTCCTTTTCCTCTTCCTCTCCTGCTTCCTCTATTTCTACATCATTGTGCTGATTACCTGTCTCCTCCAACTCTTCCTCTCGCTGAACCACCTTACCCTCTTCTTGTTCCGCCTTCTGTTCTTCATTACGCACCACCTGATGCTCTTTCTCCTTCATTGATTGTCTTCTAGGCCTAGCCTCCATTTTATTTATTTGTTCTGCAAATTCGAGGCGTCTACCTTCAAATAAAGCATTCATTTTTCTCTGTGACTCTTCTATTAGTTTTTGGGTAGCTGGACACATTCTTCCAGGAATATAGAACAAATGGGGCTTGGTCTTAGTTCTTATATATTTAATGATCTTGGTATTATGCTCATTCCACTCTTCCTGCAGTTGTGCAAGCTCAACCTTCTGCTCCAAGAGCCGCAGCTCTGTCTGTTTGGCACGCCTCTCTTCAAATAGCTCTCTCCTTTCATTTTCAACCTGTTTTCTCTCTTCTTCTGCCTGAACTTCAAGTTTTTGTTCAATTTCTTGGCGCCTCTTTTGCCTTTCAGTAGCAACAGTAGATTCTTGTTTAAATTTTTGAAGAGTACCCATCAACAAGCCAAATATTCGCCGGTTCCTTTGCTTTCCTTTTTCATCCATATTTTGATCCTGGATAAGGTCTCTACGTGTACGCTCTTTGGAGGTAGCTACAACTGAAGACTGCAGTGCTGGCTTTTTCACATCATCATCCTCTGGGTCACTCTCTTGGCAAGATTCTCTTCTTGTCCGACATTCTCCACCCAGCCTATTGACTGCCCCTTCAAGGTCTCTCTGTTTGGCTGGGGGTCCTCCTCCACTATCTGAGAATCCACGCCTCAGCAATAAACTACCACGTCCTCTACCTCCACCAGGACCAGAAAGGGCCAGCAATCTGGCTTGGATGGGCCTCACGTCATTGGGATCTCGCCCAGTGAGCTTGCGAATATTCTCATCCACATTTTTTAGGCTCTCTTTGGCCTTCTCTAGCTGCTCCTGAAAAGTTCTCACAGCGACCGCCATCTTCCCCCTGCAGCGGGTTTCCAGACGGCTCTACAGGCTGCGCTGCGCCGTGCTACCCCAGAAGACTGACTGTCTTGTGCTATTGAATGTTGGAAGTATTTCACTTTGTTTTCATTTATATAGGGACTTGCAGCTAAGGATTTGCCTTAAATTTCAGAGGGGACTTGGGACTTGGAATTTTCAGCAATACAGAAACTGTTGGGACTTTGCCAACTCTTGGAGGTAGACTAAATGCCTTTTGCTAAATGCATATACATGAGTCTTGGTGGTGGGGAGAGGCATTGCTTGTGTTTAGATGTCCCCCCCCCCCCCCTCATGTCATAGAGGGTTTTTTTCAGAGATGGCTGGATCTAGGATGTGTGATGCTGGAATTGATTCATGGTGCAGTGCTAGGATCAAGGGCACCAGGATAAGGGGCATGGGTACTTCCTGGCCTAAGTAGCTTGGATGAGATAGAAAGGGCTAGAAAGAGCTGTGGTCATCCTTTACTTGCTGTTGGTAACCTGCTTGCTGTAGACTATTTTTCCTTTGGGATACCTCTGCCATGCCACCCTGCCTTGGAGCCAGCCAACTATGGCCTGAAACCTCTACAAACTGTGAACTAAATCATTTCTGTTTTAACGTTGGGTGTTGGGTATTTTGTCTCAGCAGCGAGAAAAGTAACTCTTTTGTCTAATAGTTCAAGCTGATATTATACAAATTTAATCTCTGCACTAATGTTAAAAGATATCCATTGTATGTAAAATGAAGAAAGAACCATACTTAAAAATCATGTATCAAGCTGGGCATGTTGGTATATCTCCATAGTCGCAGCACTTGGTAGGCTGAGACAGAAAGATGGCAACAAGTTCAACACCAGCCTAGGCTACATAGGGAGCTCAAAGCTAGCCTGAACTACATAGCAAGACCCTGTCTCAAAGAGAACCATTTATATCACTCTTGGCATGCATGAGGATCTGGATTCAATCCCCAGCATGAAAAGAGAGAGAATGAAAAAAGGAACTTACAAAATAGAAGAAAGTATTTGCAAATCATATATTTGGTAAAGTATTAATATCCTGACTGTTGCTTGGCTTGATGACACACATTTATAATCTTAGCACTTGGGAGGCTGAGGCAGGAGGATCCCTGATTTTGAGACCAGCCTGGCTACATAAGAGAGTCCAAGTCCAACCTGCACTTCATAGCAAGACCTTGCTCAAAACAAACAAAATCCCAAATGTATAAAGAGCTCTTAATAAGTAAAAAAACTTCCCAATCCAATAATTAGCAAAGGGTTTGAATAGAATTCTCCAATGAAGTTAAAAAGATGACCAGTAAATTGGTGAAAGTATACTGAACTCTTAAGGAAAATACAAATCTTTTAACCAAAATGAGATACCACTTCATTGCTACTAGGATGGCATTCATTCATTTGTTTATTTGGTAGTACTGGGATTTGAATTGAGGGCATTTTCATGGAGCTATAGCCCCATTTTGCTCTTATTTTTTATTTTGTGATAGAGTCTCAATAAGTAGCTGAGTTGCCTAGGCTGGGCTTGAACTTTCAATCCTCCTGCCTCAGCCTTCCAAGAGCTACCATTACAGCCATGTGTATGCCATCATGCCTGCAGGATGGCTGTTGCTCTTGTTGTTGTTGTTGTTGTTTAAAAGGGATAAGGTTAGTACATGTTGGTGAGGATATAGAGAAATTGGAACCCTGCTGCTTTGGTAGTGGGAATTACTGTATAGTACCCCGATTCTAAGAAGAATTGAGTTTTATAGTTCTTCAAAGAGTTATACTTGGGGCCGGGGAGATGGCTCAGTAGAATAAGCACTTGCCTGGCAAGCGCAAGGGCCTGAGTTCAATCCCTGGTCCTGCCAAAATAAATAAATAAATAAATTAATTAATTAAAAAAAAAAGAGTTATACTTACCATATGACTTAAAAATTCTGTTTCTGGGTATATGCCCTCAGGATTTATGAATAAAGATTCTAATAATACTTGTATTTTAATATTCATAGCAGCATTACTCCAGAATCCAAAGGATGGAAATAATCCAATAGTCCGTCAGCAGGTGAATGGATAGAGGAAGTATCAACAGTCTGCACAATAGAATATTACTCAGAATGGAATGGAAAGGGTGGAAATAATCCAAGAGTCTGTCAACAGTGAATGGATAGAGCAAATACTGGCTCTCTGCACAATGGAATATTATTTAGCTTTTAAAAAAGAATCTCTGACACAAGCTGTAACATGGATGAGCCTTTGAAAACATTCTACTCACTAAAGTGGCCACAAATGGACAAATGCTGTAGGAGTCCATTTATATGAGGTCCCTAGAGCAGTCAGATTCATAGACAAATAGAATGGTGGAGGCCATGAGTTGGGGGGAAGGATGGGGAGTTAGTGTTTAATGGGTGCGGAGTTCCAATACTGTGCTTGTTAGGACAGTGATTAATAGAAAAGCCCTTGCTGTGTGACAGTGTTGAATATCATTTCTGTAGAGAAATTGTGGCAGGAAACCACTGGGCTGGAGAGAAGGGAAAGGATCTGGGAAGGAGCAAGAGGACCGTTCAAAATCAAGGGTAGGGGCTGGGGAGATAGTTCAGTAGAATAAGTGCTTGCCTGGCAAGTGCAAGGGCCTGAGTTCAATCCCTGGTTCCACCAAAAAAAAAAAAAAAAAAAAAAAAAAAATCAAGGGTAAGATGGGGAGGATGTTCCCTCTTAAGGACTTTGGTTTTCATCCTGGGGATGGTATAAAGAAGCCTGTTGAGATAGGTGCGTGACATAATCTGATTTACTACTTTTAAAAATCATTTTTTGGAAAAAAACTTTATTATGGGGCCCTTGATATATAACTCAGTTGGTAGAGCACTTGCCTAGCAGGTAGGAGGCTCTGGTTTCAATCTCTAGGACCACAAAAAATAAAATAGAAAAAGCTTTATTATGGCGATGTTCAAATGTATAAAGAATGAGCTAGTATGGGGAGCCCCATGTTTGATAAAATCAACCTTTGCTAATCTTCCTTCCAGGCCTGCACATTTGCCATCCTCCCACCTCCCTCTGCAGTATTCAGTCATCATTGTTTTTGCTGTTTTGCTTTTCACTTCGAAATAATTTGGCTTATAGAAAAGTTGCAGACGTAGTGCAGAAATCTTTTGTGGAGCCCTAAGCCAGCTTTCCCTAATGTGAGCTGTGAGCATCATTTCTGACCACAGTGTTGTATACGCTGCTAAGACATTAACATTGGTGCAGTACTATTGGGATGTCACCAGCTTCTCCCACTCATGTCCTTTTTTTCTGTTGCTGCATTGCTTTGCAGTCAGTTGTCATGTCTCCTGATAATCTTCAATTGGGGACATTTCCATAGTCTTTTCTTATCTTTGTCCATTTGCCTAGCAGGTAGGAGGCTCTGGGTTCAATCTCTAGGGCCATAGAAAATAAAGTAGAAGAAAGCTGGGTTTTTTGTTTGTTTGTTTTCTGATACAGTGCTGAGAATTGAACCCAGGGCCTTTATGCTGAGCCCTTTTTATTTTTTATTTAGAGGCAGGTTCTGCCTAAATTGCAAAGTTACCATGGGTTGTAGTTGAATTTGGGATCCTCCTGCCTCAACCTCCCACAGTGCTGGAGTTACAGGTGTGTGCCATCAAGCCCAGCTTGTTTTCATTGTTTGACTCTTATGAATAATGCTGATAATGCTGAATAATGTGTTTTTATATGTTTTGTTGGAAGATGTTTACATTTGTTTTGGTACCTACGGGGACTGCCAGGTTCCACGTACCTCTTCCTCTTTAACTGTTTTCAGAGATCCACTGATTGGGCTCCGTAAGAGCTGAGGGAAGCAGGGAACTCTTTCTGCAGTCTAGGTGAGACCGGGAAAAGCCTTCTGGGTAGCAGCAGTGGGTGAGGTGGCATTGTCCTCAGTTTTTTTGTTTAATTTCTTGGACCTTTTTTTTTTTTAAAATCTGGTAAGTGTTGAATTCTTTTCTAGTTTGTTTTATCTTCGCTTATAGTGTGTTTTTGCCATCCTAACGTTTAATTTTAGGAAGTCAAAGCTTAACAATTTTTTTCTGACTTTAAGGTTTCATTATCACCAGAAAGAGCTTCTCATTATTCTGTGAGTATTGCTTCCTTTTTTATCTTTTTTATTTTATTTTATTTTTTTTTTTTCAGTACTGAGGATTGAACTTAGGCTCTTCCCATTGAGCTGCTTATTATTTTGAGGCAGGATCTAGCTAAGTCATTGAATTGCTCAGGCTGAGCTTGAACTTGTAGTCCTACTGCCTTAGTCTCCCAAAGGTGGGGTTACAAGTGTGCACCACTGTGTTTGGTGTTAATTTTTTTACTTTTAAACAGGATTCATTTGAAATTCATGCTGGTGTATGGTGGGTGGTGTGGGTATATATTGAAGGCAGGACAGCAGAGAACCTTGTGCATGGGACATTTTTATTCTTTATGTTGGTTCACTAGAAAATAAGCTTGGAGAAAATAGAGTTGGTTTTCTCTGCTTGGTATCCTGCCCCACTACCAGCATCTAATAGCAACTGGCTTAGATGGAGAAGGGGCTCAGCAAACATTTGTTGAGTGAATCAGCAGCAAAAAATCTTGAGTGGAATCCCAGGTCAAAGTTTCTAGCTATTTGTAACTTCCAACATGTCAGATTGCCTTCCATAGCGGCTGTTGCAGGGAGTGCCCTCACCAGCAAGATGGGATGTGGTGGGTAACTGTTCTCTCCTTAGTCCACTGCAGCCTGGGCTGAGGTCTCTGCTGCTGTAGGAGATGTGCTTGTCCTTGCAGAGCTCATTTCCATGTTGCTGCATTCAGCAGTCACTTCTCTGTCACTTTATCAAACCTCACAGCAGCCTTTGTCATTTGTTTTTTGAAGCACTCCTGTTGCAGTTATTAACAGCTGTTATTGGGTACCCGTGGGATGCTGAGCAGAGAAGATGCTTAGTGCATTCACACTGTCATAGTCACTTTTCCATCACTGGGACAAAATTCTCAGCACTTACAATTT